TGATATTCTTCTTGACCAATGGTTTTCTGTAACATTCTTACTTTGATTTTATTTATGTTAATAGGTGATATAATTTTGTTCACCACAATTAAATATTTATATTTTCTATATATTTATAAAAAAAGTAAATCACAAACCCTGATATAATAGCTTGCCCTGATGGTTCTTATGAATTGGCATGTTAAGATTAATAATTACTTTTGTCGTTGAAGTTTTTGCCTGATATAATAGCTTTTGGTCACATGAGTCTCTAACTAATCACGAGTCAACCCGAATGAAAACAGATAATGCTCACTTGTTAAGTTGTGAGACCTTGCTTAGGGTCATGTCAAGTAGGAAAAGTGTGGATAAAAGAAGGATCACACACCTTTAAAACATAAATATTTTGTTTGTACAGTGGGGCGAAAATTCAAACATAAATATTTGAAACACACACCTTTAAATCAGATTACAAACATTTTATTTTCCACAATACAATTTCAAGTATCGGTTTCGGTATTCATTAAAGAAAAGATACATTCGAGCGAGCAAGCACATTCAAAAGACGGCGAAGGGTTCATCATAATGTTAGGAAACTTGCAACGAAGTTTACAAATGCCGCAAAAAGGTCGAGTCATACCATTGTTGGGAATTACTTGAGATCCAACGTCTATACATTCTGGCTTGATATGAGACAAGTCTCCAAGAACACACTTGACATGAAGAGCGACTCCACAATCCTCACATGTATAAAACCATACCTTTGGATCTGTTATCGTCTCGCAAATATCACACCACAATAGACCAGTCACGTTTTCATCGCCACGACACAGTGACAAATAATGATCATCACACCTGTGTTTTACCTTAGTTGGTAAAGTGGCACACTTTATGTCCAAAGAAAAATCGCACATCTTACAAGTTAAGACATTAGGTGAGTTTACGCCACACGCCACACAAGTCTTGGACTTCTCCAAGGTGTGGTACAATGGATGTGAATGCAACTTATGGATAAATGGTTCAGAGATGGAACCACACCTTGCATCTAGTAGAATCACACCACAGTCAACCGCTTGGTGCTGGATATGATTAAGGCACTCGTACCTGAAACCGTTGGAGATTCGCTTACAAACGAAACATTGAAACATAGACGGCCTCTTCCAATCATTTAGATTAAGCTTGTGATTGTGCAGCACATGTCGTTTCCTCCGAGGAAGATTGGCACACTCTTTATGAAGGAAGAAATCGCCTGTCTCACATTTGTAGAACATACCATCATCGAGGGGAAGGCTGCAAACGTCACACCGCATCTTCTCATAATCTTTAACATTATTATCCTCAACAAGTCTTAGATTGTGTTCTTCATGACTAAAATGAATGATCTCCTTTTCACCATTTACCATCTTGTATGGATCTAAGATTTCTTCATCTTCTTCAGGCACATCTTCAAGTTCTTTCCCATCCCAAACTCTCTCATCCGTTGCGCATTTTGAATGAACAGCATAGTCTGGACAACGCTTGCAAAAATAACCTCCAAAAGTCCAATCTATGTTTTCTTGACAAACAGCACATAATCTTGACTTGCCCTGACCGAGATGATAAGTGAGAGAAACACGATGATCATGACGGTTGATGTTTATGACACGTGGTAGATCGATACAATCTTTGTGGATCATGTAATCGCATCTAATGCATACATAAGGGTTACGTTCTCCAATCAACCCACATGCATTACAAGTGAATGAGATCTCTCTTGGTAAGAGAATGAATGAATCCTCGTGGATCTTCATATTCCGAATAGCATGTGGCTCGTTGTATTTACATTCTCGGTCTACGCTGAAGTTGCAAATGGAACAATGATAGAAATCGTCCGATGGAATTTTTCTACAAAAATGGCATTTACCGTCGGTATAGGCGAGTGTTCCAGGCGAGACTTTCTTAAGAGGATGTCTATTGTGACCGATGTATCTGAGTGACCACTTGATGCACTCCTCGTGCGCTTGTACGTTGCACTTCTCGCAGGCACGACCGACTCCATCTGAACCACCGCACCCGTCACAAAGTGGTTTATCACCAATCCCAAATGTCACATCTGTTAGAGTGTGATAGAGACAGGTTATCTCTACAAGACCCATAACTAGCTCTCTGAGATAACGAAACTCAAAAACAGAAACTGAAC